GGGGGGGGGGGGGGGGGGGGGGGGGGGGGGGCAGGAGGAAGGGGGCAGTGGTCAATTCCAATGTGTATAGTCATGCAAGAGATGGGAACACTCATCTTGGATAGGGTTGTATGAAGCTTAGTCATTTTTATAATAAAATAATTTTGTAATTTTTGATTTTATTTTTATTTTCAGCATAAATGCTGTTTTAGGTTTTCTTCCAAAGCAAAGACGAACGGTAAGTTTTGATCGCTTGACTAAATGCTTGCTTTAGAGATATTGTTTGCACACATTTTGTAACATCCTTTGAATAGAAAATTGCTTGAAATCAAGCAACTACATGTACTTGTTACAGACAATTGGACAGAGGTATTGCACAGGCTGATTTTTCTGCACTATAAAGCTGCTAAATCCTCAAGCAACAACTTTGCTACTTTCACAATTCTGTCACTTTAGCAGTATCATTGAGAAGAATTTGACCACATTGTTTATACGCAGGGCCTGTTCTCTGCTACCCAGACAGATGAAGTTGAGGCATTAGTTAGAGCTGGACTCCGAAATCCTGTAAGAGTAACAGTCAGAGAAAAATATTCCAAATCCAAGGTAAGCATAGGTGGATAAGGTATGGTAAAAGGTGAAGTCTGCATACAGTACGAGCCTAGTGGCTCATCAGGCCAGAGTTTATCCCAGTTTCTGTAGCATGAAACATCTAGGGGTATTTCTACTTCCCCCCTGGATAGGATGCTAGTCCATCGCAGGTTACCCCCAGCATTAAATTTGCGGGTACCCATTTATACACCTGGGTAGAGAGAGGCACTGTGAGAGTAAAGTGTCGTACTTAAGAACACGACACAATGTCCGAACCCAAGGGCTTGAACCTGGACACCTTGATCTGGAGGTGAGTGCACTAATGTTGAGGTGACTGGGCTTCCAGGTTTAGATCTCTTGATGGCCCTTAATTTACAAACTTCTATTGTTTTAATTTTTCCCATAGTCAGAGCAGAGGACACCATCCACACTAAAAAATTTCTACACAGTAAGTTGTTTTTAGGGTCACATATTGAATATGTTTCTTCAACAAAGCCTTTGTAAGCCTTTGTAATCTAAATATAAGACAACTAAAATATATAATAATAAAATACACTTGTAGAGAGGAGGCCATTGTTGTGAGGTTACTGCAGTATTGATCGGCACCCAGGGAGACTCCGATATAAAAAGGAGGGGGTGTTCCTCGCAAAGATTGAAAAGATCCCCTAAGAGGTACCAAGATCCTGTTTTGTGGGCGTGGCTTGAAATGTTTTAACCCCTTAGAAATACCAATTCTACAACAGTACCACATATTAACAATCAAATTCATTATTTTTAACAGCAATAAATCAGTTGATTATTAAATACCTCCTGTCATATTGTTTTGAGCTCTAAAAGGTACCGTGAAAGCTCTTGCTGTGGACCTTTTGAGGCTGAATACCCAAAGAGGTGCCAAAACCGCTTTTTTAACCCCTAAAAG